GGAAGGGAACCAGATAAGGCCAGGTGGCTTCGACTCAATCCTCACTTGCTTTCACAATGACCCTATAAAATGTATAGTATTCTCATATGACCAATGAGGAAACTATATGCACACCTATTCAATGGTGCCTGTTCAAAAGCCATTATTCTATCATTTTTCCTTTCCAACATATCTCACCTCCCACACTACAAAAACAAAATGCCAGAAATGTACTTTCCCAGCTTCCCCTGAACCTAGGATATGACAAGTGACTCAATCCTGGCCAATAGAAGCTGAGGGGAAATCTTCTAGGGAGGATAGTTATGAGACAGAATGTTCTCCTTCTTAATAAAGTAGGAAGGTATGCAAGGATAGGTCCCATCCCTCACATCCTGTCTTCAGACTTTATCGTGTAGGATGCAATGGTTGGTGCTGCTGCAGTCATTTTATTAGCATGAGGGAAAAACCAAGACAATCACAAAGAAGCTGGCTGTATAATAGCCAAACACACTCCTGGCCACCTTAGGGCTGCTGAATACATAAGAAAAACAAATCTCTATTATTTCAACCGCTTTTAACTGGGTGTTAATAACTTGTAGTCTAAATGAATAAGGAAAATGAGCCTCAGAGAAACTGAATAATTTCAAAATTATACAAGTAAAAAAGGGGGAAACCTGAATTTTGAGTACAGGCCTAATGGTATTAAATCCTTTGCTCTTTTTTTACTCTACCATATCCCTGAGACTCTGCATTGAGCAAATCACTGTAAACTGTAAAATGCCAGGCAGAATTGAGGGATGACTAATAAAATCAATGCTAATGATAATCCAGAAAACTAAGAATTTTGAGGCTGCGAAGATGTGGCCTCTCCGAGGAGAAGAGACAAACCAAGCAGGTCCTTCTGTTGGGGTCTGCAGGAAAGCTCAAATGTGGCCCGACCACAGAGGAGTCTTAGGAGTCTGGTTTTCTAACATCTGGACTGGCATCCAGAGAATTCAACTTTCACCAGGGAGTCTCAAAATATTTAGATTAGTGAAGAATATGCTGAAATCTCCACTTCGAAAATCCTATTTCCTTCTCCCAACCCAGAAAAAGTACCCTGTTTCTATTCTTATGTGCCAAGAGATTCAAATGGGGGTTTTTGTCCTTGATAGTATCTAGAGTGTAGTCAGCTGCAGGTATTTAAAAGGGAGGTGGGGGAAATATTTTTCTAAAATACTAATTTAAAGAACAAATCAACATCTATTATCTCCTTCATTATGTTTTAAATTGTCCAACTATAAATCACCCTGCAGCAGGTTATTCAAGGGCAGAATTACCCAGCCTGGCTTTCCCGAAGGTTAGAAGAATGACATCTTGTGCTTTTTCTAGTTATAATTTATAACTTTGCAACAGAACCAGCATTGCAGGCCCATCCATTAGCAGGGTCGCTGCACATCTGTTAAAACTCAGCACAATGACTGGCTTTACACGGCCACAGGAAACGTAACCCAATCGTTTCAGAAGTTCTACAAACTCAAGCTATTTTTTTAATGTAAAATGATTTGAAAATGCAGTTCCCTAAAACATCTGTTAAGCTCTTGCTACCCTGACACATGATATTCTTTCTACTGTTACCTGCCAACACAAATATTTGGTTGCACAGAACACCCTAAGAGGCACATGATGGTGCTCAGCTTCAAATTTACATACCAATCTGCAAAGGGCTGGCTTAGACCTAGAAACTCTAGCTAAGATGTTGTTTACCAGAACTGAAAGCTTACGTGGGGAAAAAATGGACAGGCGGGGGGTGGGGGCGTTAATTTCACAAAGGTACTTTCAAACATGTTAAAAAAGAAAACATAACTGTATAACTAGATATATATGGCAGAGGCACTGTGGTGCATTTAACAAAGAAATTGAACTTGGGATTGGTTGGTGAAGGATCTGAAGCTGAAATACCATTTTCCTGAACAAGTTAGGTAAGTTCTCTGTTCTTTTTTAAATGCAAAGTAAGAATAATAATTCTAACATCGTAGAATGGTTGTGAGATACATGAAGACATATATGCTGCTATATAAAGCATGATGGTGTCTGTCCTACACTGCCAAGTCGCATCTTACTTGAGAGTATGGAAAGGAATCTAAAGATATCACACACAGCAATAATTGCAAATAGACAAAATTATCCTTGAAAATACTATATGACTGGTTTCATGAATTAAGCTCCTTAAATATGTATGCATGAAGATATCATGTATACTAACAGACAACGTATATATATATTAATGCATGCATATGAAAAATGTAATTTTAGAGTATTTTAATTGCATAAAAAAGGGACAGGAAATTTCATAGAGACAGTAAAATAAATATAATGCATACATGATGGATGTGACTTCATTATTTGAAAGCTCCCAGCAAACTTTAGTTTCCTTTAAGATATTTAAAAAGCAGCTAGAGGAAGAATCCTTTTTTTTTTTTTTTAAACAACATCAAAAAAAATCCCATTCTCATTTTTAACTCCTTATTTTTATTTTATCATAAATTAGAGGGAGAGGGAACACAAAAGTTCTCCCCCGGGACCCCAAGTATTCCTATCTTGTCCTCTAGACCTCAAGAGGAAGAGGTGACAGAGACATGGCTTTACCCGTGGGGGTCGCTGTGCTGAGAATTAATCCCTGTGAGTTTCTCATTAGTGATTATTATACTGCGGGCGGCCAAAATGGAAAAATTAATTAATTTCAAAGTGATAATGCATTTACAGCAACAATTAGAAATGTATAACTGTAAAAGGGCCACATTTAAAAGACAGATTACATTTAATAAAGTTGCACAAGAACATCCAATTGTAAAATTACTGATCTGCAACAATATTCCTTAAAGAGGCACTTAAAATAGCCTGACTCCATGAAGGGTGACCTAATTACTGTAACTAAAATCACCATAGTCACAGCAAGTCACAGCAAATAAAAAAGGGACGCTGATATTAGAATACTGCTGTTTAATACTTAAGGGAGCCAGCCGCAGCAGAGAAGCGAAAGCAGAGCTCCCAAGCACGAGGCTGGGCTGTGCTTCTTGCTTCCTTGACCTTGTACAATGGAATGTATACTCTAGCAACACTCATGTCAAAAGAAAAACGCTTTTTCTGAAGTGAATTGCAGAAAGGGTGACAAAGCACAGAACATCAGCCATCTGGTGATGGGGACATTGAATCTATGCTAAGTTTCTTTGTGAGCATTTAGGAATCCAACTTTTACATGGGGGTAGGAATGGGAATGCAACTGCATGGCTTATGTCCAAAATATGTTTGCATTACAATGGCAGAAGTGCAACCTGCACCTATGAAGCAAAAGTCTTATCATGATGGAAGCAACGCCAAGCGATGTGCAGAAGGATAAAACATGTGGGTGGTTTTTCCAACAAGCCCAGTCTGTCCTACCATTGAAATATAGTAATCCTAAATCCATATGCACACGGATTCCTCTTTGGAATACAGAGTCCTAAATGTTCATGAAAGAGAAGCAACTAGCTGTGAGTTTGACAAGCAAATACAGAGTTCCCATTCCATCTCTTTATAAACCTGGTCATGTGGAAATTTGATGGCTAAGACATACCACTAAACACCTAAATATATAAAGACATTATTAGAGAGAATTTTTCCTAAGTATCAAACTTAGCTACATATTTCATAGTCTTCCTAATCTATATAGGCTTGTCTAAAAAAGTACATGTGTGGCATTTAAAAGACGCTATTTTCCAGTCACTTGGGGAAAGGAACATGGAAAGTCCACTCTATAATGGCTTCTGCAGAGACCAGATGTACAGGTTGGAGAACCAAGCTCTCTCCACTGAGCATCCTTCCTGCCTTGCCAATAACCCTCTCCTTGGGCCTTTGGGGCGAGGGAGGTCCCCCAACTACCACCACCAGACTCCTAATTTACCAGAGGTCCCCCAACTACCATCACCAGACTCCCAATTTACCAGAGTTTTTTAGTTCCGTGACCTTTGTATCCATCAGCAGCAATCGCATTTTGGAAAATAATCTTCAGAACCAAAGTAACACTCACAACAAGAACAACCATCATCATGGCAAGAAGTACTACACACCTACCACACACCAGACGCTGTGCTAGGCACATTATTTAACTGTGATTTCCAATATGGCAGCCATTAGACACATGGAGCTATTTAAATCTAAATTAATTTAAATAAATTAAAAATTTAGTTCTTTAATTAGCTATATTAGCCAATTTTCAAGGGCTCAATAGCCATACGTGGCCAGTGACTACCATACGGAATAGCTGTGGTTTAGAAAAATACTACACCAAATGAATTATATAAAATGCATGTTCTTCATTCAAGTTGCTTCTTACTAAAATGCTTTCATGGAAGAAGTTTCAAGATACGGTTGTTATACGACCATCAAAAATGGAAAAATATCATACTTACCTTTGTCAATATTTCCAAATTTAACCACAGTGGTATGATTCATTCAAATGAATTCATCTTTGGGGAAATAAAGAGTAAAACATACTTCTAGCTGAAGAAGCATACCCCAGGAGAGGTTTACACCCATTAAAAGAATTTAGAACATCAGATACAGACTTTCAGTGGAAACAAAGGAATCATATCAGCTGATAATTCAACAGTCACAAATCCATGTTTTTCACCTAACACAAAAACACAGTTTCCAAGCACCACAGTTTCTGAATAATAATATAAAAAAAATCATATCAAAAGAAAACCAATCATCACCATCAAGACTTTTAGCCATACTTAACACAATATTGAAAAACCACATGTTCTATCCAGCCCTCCGAGACACCTTTAGAGAAACAAATGTAATCTACAGTCAATTGAAATGTGTTCCAGAGCCCTTTCCAATGGCTTTAATAGGCCTGATGATGTGATTCCCGAGACCAGACTCATCATGACAAGAGGCGAGAAGCTGAAGAAAACGCAAGCCTGGGTTTCTCCCGGACCCTTCCCATAAAGGCACATTGAAGGTGCCTGCGGCGGCGACAGAAGCCGTTCACTTACCATGGACTTGGTGAAAGGCCTGGCCAAGGTAAACAGCAGCGTGTACACCCACCAGTGGCGATGAAGGGAGGAGTACATCATGTTTCCAGGGTGCACAGCATTCGATGTGACCCCACGCGGGGAGAGGCGGCGATGGAGCTCATTGGAGAAGAGAATGTTGCAGAGTTTGGACCGGTTGTAAGCCAGCATGGCCCAGTAGTCATTTTTAGATGGAGAGAGGCGGCTAAAGTCTAGGTTTTTTGAGGAATCATTAATATCAGTAAATCTAAAAAAAAAAAAAAAAAATGACGTGAAGCAGCCAATCTCTGATGTCTGATACAGCTTTTTAAAATTTTTATTAGAAATCTGCAAAACTACAGAGACTACTGAAAACTCAACTGTGTAAACATCGAAACAAAGTTTCTCTTAAAAATACACAATCGTGATTTAACAATATAAACCAAGTGGATCCAAAGATAGACTTAATAAAGGCCCAAACTCATAAATGAAGAGGTCTTAACAAACTGAACACCCCCTCCTTTAACATATATTTTTCAAAACCTTCGACGGGAAGTTCAAGGATAATTCAATTAAATGGAAAAGCATCTTAAATAAAGGACTGTTCCTTTTTGGAAACAGAAAGATATCACATTCCTAACCTTTGACAGGGCTTTCTTGGGTTATTTTAGCCAATGCCTGAGTCCTGTATATTTTCATTTGAGCATCCAAGTAAATATATAGATGAGTCTTGCTGCCTCCAAGACTCTTTTCCAGATTAAAAATTAATGATTATAAAGGGGTTATAACCTTGGTGAGGTGCCATCAATAGTCTTATATATGTTTAAAAGACAAATATAAACAAAGCCAAAATGAGTTCTGGCAGAGTCTAATGTTTTTAAGTATACCCACAGCATGGATGTACACAAATCAAAGTAAGTAGTTGATGTTTTATAATTGGGTCTGACAGAGTCGTTAAACACCAGCTGTTTGTTTCTCTCCTCTTTTTCTCTTCCTTCCTTTCTTTTTAAATAACAACGAAGTAATGACCGTTCTTAAAAAAAAAGTAGATCATAACAAAAGAAATTTTCTAGACGATGGTCTTATTTTTGTTAAGGACCTTTGTTAATAGTTTGCTTCATTAAATTAACTCTGGGCATTTGCACTGAGTAATAAGGAAGCATAAGGGTAATCTAGGTAACTGCCATGGAAAATAAAAGCAAAAGGTAAAATGAAAATTACAGAATAATCTGTTGCTACGAGCAGTTCAGTTGAGCTCTGACCAAGAAAAGCATCACAGGGGCAGAGAAAATGCATGTTTTAATGGAAATTAAATATCCCTTTTCTAGGATTCAGTCAATGACATCCAATTTCTAGTGTTAAATGACATTGCTGCTCTAAATTCATCAGCAAACCTGATGGCCAGAAACACCATCATGGATATGGCAATGGGACCTTTAAATTAATTGTTGGCTGTCTGTTTCCAAGTCCCCAAACCACAGGAAGAATGCAGACTTCTGAGCTTAATTGTCTGAAGCAGTGGAACTTAGCGGGAAATTTGAAAATTTATGAGAGATTTTCCTGGTTGTCATAATGATTGCCGGTGGGGGCCAGGGATGGTAGATGTCCTGCGGTGCTGGCAGAGTCTTGTTCAATGAGGACTGCCACGCTGGACATTCACATGGATGAAAAGCCTGTGTATAAATTATCTGAGCCTACAGCCTAAGTGTCTCTTACATATATGTACAGTTTTAACACCCACTTAATTTCCAGGAGTGTAGTGCAACAATGGTGTAAATGACGAACGAATGCACTTTTAGATTTTGTGATTTTTGGAGGAGGTGAGGTGAGGCTTCGCTCAATGCTGATGGTGTGGGGGTCTGTCATGCCACATGCCCATTAACTGTCTGCATTTGTAAACATCCCACTTCAGGTGATTTATGCGTGGATGTGTGCATCTGATTATTTACCTGTCCTGTAGTCCTGCCCATGCATTTACATTTTGAAACAAATGCTATTTTGCTTCACATTTATTTTTTTCTTTATATTACAATAAGTTAGCATATTGAATTAGAATATATTTATTCAGGGAAGTTATATTATTTCTGAATTATATTTCAACATAGTAATAAGGTTACAGAAGAGTTGTTACAAAAAGACTGTTAAGAGCCTAATGATCCAAGATACAGGCAATGTGTTAGAAAGGCTACCTTCTCTGAATAGAAAAGAGCATTAAGCATTTAAACAATATCTGAAATCTATAGAATAAATATAACATTCTTCACTCTCTTTACTCTTCTTCTGTCATGTATTGCTGGAAACCCTTATGGACATATTTGTTTAGGCCAACCCAGCTCAGGTGTCACTTCTACCACGAAGCTCTCCCTAACTCTTCTCTTCCACTGCTGGTCGTCACACTGCTGGATGTCTTAGGTAGCAGTGGAGGGTAGAATGAAAAAAGCCAGGCAAAGCAGACTGAAATGCATGTTTCCAAGGAAATTAAGTATCCAGTCTCCACGACCCAGTCCATGATATGCCTAGTGTTCAATAATCCTGTCACCTCTCCAAGACTGGTAACAAAGCAAATCATGTCATCTTTACATTTTGTCTGTACATTGTGTCTCTGTCCTTACCACACCAGATGGCAAGGCATTTGTTCACCTGGTTCCAATGCTAGACTGTGAATCCTTGGAAAGTGGACAGAGAGCCCTTTGCATGTTGCCTAGCACAATGCCTAACACATAGTATAGACTAAATACAGTTAGAGAACCAAAGTTTAATCATGGGTTTGGAATTCCGAACCAAGGGCAAGTCTTCCTCATTACAAAAAACTTCCTTTCAAACCTTGCTCAAAAAGGAAAAATTTACCATTAATTGCAGATCTTCTATTAGAGAGAATGAAGAACGTGGCACTTTGCGTGTGGCACTTTCTAATGTTTAGATGAGTTTCCTGCTTTGGTTTTTAAGGACAATGCAGAATAATCTCATGACTGGGGAACACTGCGTTGATTAAACTCCAAAGAGAAGTCACTCATACATAGCTCCCAATTAGACACAAGGCAAACACACACACACACAAACGATGAGAACTTAAATGGAACCAGGCTGAATGCAGGTTTTAAGGTGGAAGCACAGCTGCTAAATATCAGGCCCACCCTAAGTGGACCCCTAATTTTCTACCCTGACAATATGGGTATTTTTTTTATTAAGTTTATTGGAGTAACATTGGTTAATACAACCATATAATTTTCAGGTGTACATTATCATTTGACATCTGTATATTCTATTGTGTGTTCACCACCCAAAGTCCAGTTTCCTTCAGCTACCATATATTTGATCCCCTTTACCCACTTCACCCTCCCTCTACCTCCTTTTACAATTGACCCCTTTTACTCCGTCTACCTACTCCCTTCTCCCTCACCCCACTAGTAACCACTACTCTATAGTCCTCTGGTAACCACTAGTCTATAATCCATGTCCATGAGTCTCTGTTTGTCCTACTCATTTGTTGTTTTTTAGGTTTATATCCCACATATAAGTGATATCATGTGATTTCCAACTTTTTCCGTCTGGCTTATTTCGCTTAAAACCCATTTTTAAGGTCTGATTAGCTTGTATTGACAGTACTGTAGGAAGCAGGAAGGGTGGGCAAGCTTTCTGATTCCTCTGAGCCACAGCAGACTTCCTGAAAAAAAAAAACGATCGTATTCACCTCTCAGCTCAAGAGGCAGTAAAACAACTCTTCAAAGGCTGCCTACTCTATTTTTATGTTGAAAAACTGACAAAGCCAAACAATCATGTCTTAATAGAGTGATCCTCCTACACGTACACTAACGTGTTAACATCTGCTCTCTGGACGTTAACATGTGCTGTGTGAGGGGACCTCTAGTTTGCATTTCTATATATACTGCTCCTTCATTTTTTTTTTTAACTGAGGATTTTTAAATTACCAAACTAAAGCAATTAGGCTAGATTCTATGTAGACAAAAGCTAGTATGTTCAAAGAATAGAACTGAATTTGCATCAGAAGCTGTGTGTCTGTGTGCGTGTGTGTAGCAACTTGACACTCAACACAGCTGTGGCCATTTAGAGTTGTTCAGCCAGCATTCACTCTTTTCATTCTATTTTAATTGTTATCTGAAATTTTTTCACAGCAAGGAGGTCAAGTTCTCGTTTTAATATGATGGATTTTAGGTATGCAGAAACTCAGTTCACTTGCTAACACTCCAGATAAGTAACTAAAATACAGCGAAGACATGGGGAGGCTAATAAATATTTTGCCTTGGGGCAGTCTGGTATAATATTTTCTGCAAACATAGGACTTTATTTTTCCCCTAACAGGGGGTCTTGACTCCAAGAAGAGATGCTGCCAAGGTTTATGGAGGTAATTAGATATTGGCACGTCCATTTTACAGCACAGCTTAGGGCCCTGGGTCCTCGAGCAGTGAGCGAGTGCTTTCCCAGTACTGTGCACCCAGTAGTCACACTGGCTCTGGGATGCTGTGGAAGGTGGTGGAAGCGTGATCAACAAACCAGCGTGAGGGAATTAACGTTTTGTAAAAACACCCTTTGATATGTACAAAGGATAATCAGAAAGCAGAAAACCAGGACTGATCACCAGACAGGAGCGAGCCTCAGAACACATGTCAGGAACGCCTTGTCTGTACACTAAAATGGATATCATTCAAGAGAACAAGACCCTTCCTTCCAATTCATCTTTTAAATGAAATTAAGATTCAAGTCTCCAAGGTAGGAACGAATTACACTGCAGTGAAGGAGAGAACAAAGACGTCACATGAAATACCATTTGAGATACAGATTTACAAAGGGAAGAGAGCAGCTGACAATCCAACATAATCTCCCATAAATACCAGCTCATTTAAACATATCCCGTGGTGCCCTCCACATCTGGCGAACGATTGGGGCTGGCAGATTTATTTCCGGAGCTCACTCTCCTGCACCCGCCCCCGCAGCAGCTTCCCTCACTCCTTAACAGGGCCACTCCACTTTCTTTCACAAACCTGGTGTGATTTGCAAAGATAAGGATGTCCAGATTTTGTTACCACCTAATTACTAGATGTTTCATGTCTTTTAACATGGAGGAGGATTATTACTGGCATTTTCCTTTCATTTCGGCCATCATAAATTTAAAATGGTAAAAGTAAATCTATCTGCAGTATGTCACTTATACCATAAGCCCCTGTGTTTGGGAGTGATAAAGGGTTCAGACTAACCCTTGGCTGGTCTTTCTCTTCCAAGTCCCAGGGGTTACATTTTATGGAAGCATGATTAAAAAAATAAGCTTCATTCTGGGTCACTAAAACATTTCAGGACTTAAGGGAGAGAAGAAGGGGGGCTGGGGAAATAGGCACTTGCACATTATTTTTTCCAACTACTTTGCTAAGAATGAAAGCTCCCAACCACACCAGGATTTTCTCCCTAACATGCATTAAATCTGGCCTCACCCAGCAAGTCCTTTGTCTTTGCTGAGTGCTTCCCTTTAGACAAATAGTTGTTTATACAACTCGAGAAACAACTATGGTGAAAATACGATGAAATTTTCAAATGTCTTTTTAGTCAATTGAAAATTCTCCTAATGGCAATAGAAAAGAAGTGCCATCTGATGTTTTAATTGAAATTTTAACCAAAAGAGGCATGGCCAGATTTCTAATATGTTCTAACTACAGTACTTCCCTTTCTACAATTACACAGCTAATGTCTGCATTGAATTCCCTAATTTCTCATTATAAAACAATTGGATTTCATCTCACAGTCTTTAATTGCATTGTTTCTCCTGCTAGAATAACTGCATATTCTTCTTGGTGAGATGTTGAAGTTGTTGAATGACAAATCAATAAAGGTCAGGCATTCAGATTTAATCAATTATTATTCCATCTCAAAGCGAAATCAATGAATGGCTGAAGCATAGTGGTGAAAACAATCTACATAGCTGTAGACAAAAAAAGAAAACCCACATAATCCCCCATAATCACAAAAAAGACCTCAAAAAATTAAGTAAGCCAGGTTGAGTATATCCACATTTTTCAGAGTAGGACTAATGAAAATTATTTTCAGAAAGAGCCTTGGGGGAACATTAGCTGGTGCAATGAAGAAGATGAGAGAGTAAAACACTGACTTCTAACCCACCTATGGGACTCCGAGGAGACCACGACGACACGGGCTGGGGCTGAGCGGCACAAGACGTCCTGAAGGAGCTGAACAAGGTAGAAATGCCCCAGGTGATTCACCTGGAAGGTAGTCTCCAGGCCATCTTTTGTGAGGCTCCAAGGTAGAGCAAAAGCTGCTGCATTGCACACGAGCACATGCAGAGGCCTGAAAAATAAAATATCCAACACTGTGAAGACATAAACACTCTAAAAAAAGGATAACTCGTGCTCCCTGAGGCATAACCAATTCTTCAGTATCTTCAAAACTCCAGTCACTTGGAAATGGGATGCAGTGGAATGTCGCATCTTAAACCATTCTGGGGAAGGGCCTGGACTTGGCAACTCTCCTGGGTTACTGCGGACAAGGGGGCTTCTGGGGTGCAGAACCACACCCGGCAGGCCAACATGTGTTGGCTACCCTGGTTGAAATCTAGGTTCTACCACTTAATTGAATCTATGCTTCTTAATTCGTCCAATTTCCAGTTTCTTCACCTGTAAAATCAAAATAGCCCTTAAATATAAGAAATAAAGGAGAAAACATGCTGTAAAAAGGTAGAAACAGCACTTAGGAGGTGCTAAGTAAACAAATCAAGGTAAAAATGCTCTGTCTAAAGAGTTAGGCACATATTATTTGAACATATTCCTTCTAAAGGTCAGATTAAATCTACATTTTAGAAATGAGCTTTGAAAAATAGTGGAGGCCAGTTATATTTTCTTTTGTATATATTTAATTTCATTATAAATTTTTTTAAAATAAAAGTAAGCCTTTCCTGTGAATCACACTCCTAAATCCTCATAATGGAATTGTACTTAAAGTAAATCATCCTGAATTACTAATAAGAACTGTATACAGAAATATATTCAAGGCTATCAGTGTTTGTAATTGCAACATAAAGGCAACGAATTAAAGTTAAAATAAATGTACAATTGGTAAATCATTAAATGAATTTGAATATATGTGTATGATAGAATACTATGTGGCCATTAAAATGATTACAAATAAGCAAATCGATTGACCCTGTAAAACACTGATGTTAAAAAATAAAATATCTACTGTTGTATGATCATATTTACACATGCACACACAAAATAGTAACGAAGAATACACAAAAATGTTAACAGTAGTTGTTTCTTGGAGTGGGTGGAACCCAATGTATACTAAATCATTTTCTTTCTGAGTTCATTTGTATTTTCTTAATTTTTTTCCTTAATTAATACATGATATCTTTATAATAAGGAAAAATGCAATCAAATATATCCTTTATAGAAAAAAAGCATTTGGGGAATTTAGCTAACAAATAAGAGAAAAAAAGAAAAATGCAATCAAATATATCCTTTATAGAAAAAAAGCATTTGGGGAATTTAGCTAACAAATAAGAGAAAAAAAGAAAAATGCAATCAAATATATCCTTTATAGAAAAAAAGCATTTGGGGAATTTAGCTAACAAATAAGAGAAAAAAAGAGTTTTATAGTGTCACTGGATTAAAAGGCCACTGGATTAAAAGTTCAAAGATCTGCGTTTTGTCCCAGTTTCAGACAAATCACCAAGGTCTTTGAGTTTCTGAATCCTGCCTGTAAAATCGGAGGCTGGAAATTGATGATTTCCATTTCCTCATGCAGCTCAGATTCTGTGACAATGGCTTTATTTCCTACGTGATATAGAAAATATTTCCTATGTGATATAGGAAATAAAATATTTCCTATACTTTTATTTTTAAAATTCAATGTTCTTTTCATAGAAGTTTTCATAGAGCTATCACTTTTTGCAATAGTCTGATTTTGTTCCATCCTCATGGAAGACTATAGCTGAAGAGTCATGAGTTTAAAAAGAAAAATTGGTATGCAATAAAGGGAAGCATAAAAAAAAGTGTCTAAAAACTAAAATAATCTATTATCTAAAGAAGGTAAAAAGAAACAATGGAAAATACATGCAATACTATAAATGACCCATATTTTCACTATATAAAGAGTGTTTATAAATCAATAAGAAAAACTTTTTCTGAGTCTAACAGAAATATTGACATTTTAAAAATTCATAAAACTAGGTTACAAAACAACTAGTACAAGATTTAACATGTTGAACTCTACTAGTAGCAAAATTTTAAATAGGATTTTTTTACCTATTAAATTAGCAGATTTGTTATTATTGTTATTATATTTTTATTATCTCATATAAAGCTGGTGAGTATATTCCTGCACCCTGGATATTAAATGGAAAATATGTATCATGAGAATTAGAAAAATTCACATTATTTCACCCAGTAATCCTCTTTCCGAGCAGTACACAGGGGGGCAGTGCTGAGGAAGCAGTTCTCAAGGGAGAAATACTTTATCATCAATAATGTTTAGAATTGCCATTGCGTGATAATAAAATACACAGCAACCTTTACTCAGTTTTCTTATTGGTTTTGAATTTTCTACAAACAATGCTCCCCCATTTTGCCTACACGCAGGGCAGACCACTCCCTCAGTCCCCTCTCATCCCCTCGATATATCACTGCATCTATATGGGATCCTAAAAGATATGTACACCAGGAACATGCAAATGGGACCTTATCTGAAAAAAGGGTCTCTGCAAATGTAATTAAATTCAGACCTTGAGATGAGATTATCCTGGATTAAGACAGAAATGACCAATGACTAGTGTCCTTACGAAAGAAGAGAAGGGCAGAAGACACTTCGAGAAGGAGATGTGAAGGCCAAGGTAGAGACTGGAGTGTTTCATCCACAAGCCAAGGAATGCTAAGGATTGCCCACCAGAAGCTAGCAGAAAGGCACTGCATGGATCCTCCCTTAGAGCCTCTAGTAGGAACCAACCCTGCCAACACCTTGAATTTGGACTGTTAGCCTCCAGAGATGTGACAGACTAAATTTCTGGGTTTTTTTTAAGTCAACAAATGTGGTAATTTGTTATAGCCGCTCTAGGAAACTAAGACAAGTTTCTAAGATTCTTTCCTAAAGAAATACTCAAAATTTATATAAAAGCTTAGGCATAAGGATGAGTAATAATTATATATAAGTGAGTCAGAATTATAAAACTCTATATGAACTAGAAGCAACTTAAAATCCAGCAACATAAGAATGATGAGCAAAACCCCAGTATTTTGCAAGGTACCTTCCCAGTTAAATCATTTGACTTCTTTTGTCTCTACATCCTTCCCTTTATCCACAAGAGAAAATAAAATTCTTCAAAGCTGATTTTTTTTTTTTTTTCAGTGTTTCTCTGTCTTTAAGACAAGTCTGGGCATTTGGAATTTTGACACCATAACCTCTTGATGACACCTCCTGTAGTTACCTTTATCCTTGCCTGCACATTTTCTCAAGGAAATGCAAACTTGTGTCAAGCAAAGAAACTTGCTTACCAAAGACCCAGCCTGGAGGCACAAACCCACAGAGGACCTGGGAAACCTTTTCCTGTTTCACCAAATTTCAATACTCTTCATTAATGTTAATTGCACAACACCAGAGGGAAAAATGTACCCTCTACCTAAAACTTGTCACCTCCGTTAATTAAATACAGGCTTATGGAATATGAAACTATAAAATGCTAAACTTCTTTAATTGTAATGGCACTTAATTGGCTTGTACTAAAGGAAAAGAATTCCTTTAGCCTCACTTTAATGAGGTTTTTATTATTCAAATGGCACATTTTGCTCTGTTTTGACTAAAAGCCATAGCGATTCAAAAGGCTCTGAGATGATGAATATTTACAAAATATCAAAAGGAAAGTTCAAACTATAAAGACAGTACGGAAACAAAAATAGTATCATTTTGATTCTAAAGTTTATGCTATTAGTCAGCACTTTCAGGGACTGGCTTTTTTCTTCTTTGGTGGATTCTGGTCTGGGAGGGATGAGTAAGGACAGAAAGGTTGTCTTTCATGTATAAACTGGAGATTCCAATGTTGTGTGTTGGGGTGGGGCGGGGGAGAGAGAGAGAAAGGGGGGGAGAGAGAGAGAGATGAGAGAGAGAGAGAGAGAGAAGAGAGAGGGGGGAGAGAGAGGGAGGGAGGAAGGAAAGAGGGAGAAAGGGTGAGAAAAAGCGCTTGTTCTCTGTGGTGCTAATCTGCCTATGGAGAAAGCCCCTACCTCTCTATTGCGTGGGCCTAGGACATTCTCTGAACCTACTGGTAACGGGATCTCATATGTATCCACCCCAAATCTAAATTCTTCATCTTCTTTCCTTAAGTCTCCTCCACTTCCTGATGCCCTTATTTCTTCAATGTGTGATACTCTTTAACCAGTCACCTGATATAAACACTTAGGAAATATTTGCTATCCTATAGTCTCTATGACTGTAGGATAGAGACAATATCTCCAGACTTTTAGACCTCTAGACTTTTCAGGGATTCTTAATATGTTCTGGAATGCCTGACATTTCCAATGGAGTGAGTGTTATGTTCTGCCTAGTTCTGATTTACAGGTCAATTGTACCCACCCATTCTCAACTGCTGTGAGCAATGACTTCTCCAGAAAATTGTCCTTGACTGGCGGGTGTCATCACATCTGGAAAGTCATGCCCCCCACCTAGATGCTCTCTGAAAAAAGAGACCCAACTCTAGGGTATAATTTCTTCTCCAAGGCTCCCTGTGGGATCAGGCTCACACTAGTTTCTAGTTGAACACAATCTGTTTCCCTCTTTCTTCTTTTGAGAGCATTCCTCCAATAAATCATCGGACCAAACATCCCCATCCCAGGCTTGATCTCTAGGGAACTCAAGCTCAGACAACCAGTTACTCCTGTTTCTGGTTCTGATGTTGTTAGCTTTGGTCACTGCAAGAGCCCATACCTGGCCTTGCCATCTCTGCTTTCTCCCATTGTGAATACTGGGGCCACGTTAAAAACATTTCGAGAGTGTAACAGGAATATTTACAAGATATTTTTTAAAAATTTATAAAATTAGATTATAAATAAGCAGTACAAGATTTAATATGTTAAATTCCACATCTAGCAAAAATTAGAATAAGATCATTTCTACATATCCAATTAGCAGATTTATAACATCATTATATTTTTATTATGTATAAAGCTGATCAGAAAATACTTTCCTACACCTTGGATATGTGTTGTTTTAAGACAATACATTTGTGGTAATTTATTACAATAGCAAGAGAAAACAAATACAGCGAGGTAATAAATGTTTTCTATTTTAAGTCACCAAGTTTG